CTGGGCGCGCACACCTGTGGTGCGGGTGGCCTCTAAAGAACTACTAGGTACTAGAGGAAGAATAGAGTAGGAGCTCTGGGGCAGGCGAAGAGCGCCGGCCACCCATGGAGCTACTCGACTGGCCCCAGAGCGCATGCACGAGCTAGAAACGCAGACACAGCGGAGAGAGCAAGGAGAGGAGGGTGGGGGTACGCGTCAGCCAGAAAAGCCCTCATATCATGCCCGGGACGGCCGCCAGAGCCACGGTGCTGCGGTCCAGAGGGTGGCGCACGCTTCTGGCCAGGTAGACGTCACCACATCGGCGTCGGATATGGACTCAAAGACGAAACTGAAGCAAGACAGCAACTGGGGTCGGAGACGACGCGATGCTCACTTCTGATGTGGAGGAGGGAGTACGCCGTAGCAAAGCCCAGGTCCGGCCGTCATGCACTACCATCGGTGCTCTGTCAGGTCGGCAGGGACGACGTCCCCGCAGATGTCCGGGTAAATGTGATCACGTAGGCGTCGGAGTTGGAGTCGGAGTTGCACATGGAACAGGAGTTTGGTTCAGAGTCTGATCCAATGCTCGACTCTGGCGTGGCAGGCAACATGCAGTCGCTGACGATACCGTCGATGCTCTCGGTGGTATCGGCCACGCTGCCAGGACGGAGGTTCACATAACGCGCCCCCCTGTCCCTGGTGGACACCGTGGCCGACTCGGTGCAACAAAGCTGGCCATCGACGCGGTGCTCACCCGGGATGCGGTGAAGGTGGAAACAGCGTGAAGGAGGCCAACAAAAATGGCACCAACAAAATGTGGCTCTCTCTTCTGCGTCACAATCGTTGTGCGGCTGCTCCTGCTTCACCGCCGTGGCGCAATCCTCTGGCTCAAATGGGGGTTGGTCGGCGTGGGAGTCGGTGAGCTGGTCCGTGCGAGAGACGGTGCGCTGGTCGAGGCTGGAGTCGGTGATCTGGTCGGCGCTGCAGGCGGTGGGCTGATCGTCGCCGGGGTCGGGGAGCTGGTGGGAGCGGGAGTCGGTGAGCCGATCGACGCGGGAATCAGCTGGTCGGTGCGGGAGTCGGCAGCTGGCCGGCGCGGGAGTCGGCGAGCTGGTCGGCGCAGGAGTCAAGGGGATGGTCGGCGTGGGAGTCGGTGAACTGTTCGACACGGGAGGCGGCGAGCTGCTTGGTGCGTGATTGGGTCAGCTGGTCGGCGCGGGAGTCGGCATGCTGTTCATTGTGGGGGTCGGTATGCTGTTCAGCGTAGGAGCGGGTGAGTTGGTCGGCGCGGGGGCCGCCAAGCAGGTCGGCGCGGGAGTAGACGTAGGCGTCGTGCTGGCGTAGGCGTCGACGTTGGTGCTGGCGTAGTCGTCGACGTTGGTGCTGGTGTCGGTGAGGACGTTGGTGCTGATGTAGGCGCTGTCGTTGGTACCAAAGCAGGCGCTGGATTTCGTTCAAGCGTCAATGCTGGCGTCGGCGCTGGCGTAGGCGCTGCTGTCGGTGCCGGAAAATCATCAGCATCAGCATCAGCATCAGCATCAGCATCAGCATCAGCATCAGCATCAGCATCATCATCATCATCATCATCATCATCATCATCACCATCACCATCACCATCAGCATCATCATCATCGTCGACGTCATCATCATTGCCATCCTCACCATCATCAGCACCATCATCACCATCATCATAGACATCAACATCATCATCATCAACATCAGCAACACCACCACCACCATCACCATCACCACCACCAGCACCAAAACCACCACCATCATCCTCATTATCATCAGCATCATCAAAAACATCATCATCATCATCATCATCATCATCATCATCATCATCATCATCATCATCATCATCATCATCATCATCATCATCATCAACATCAACATCAACATCAACATCAACATCAACATCAACATCACCACCATCACCATCACCATCACCATCATCATCACCATCACCGTCACCATCACCACCATCACCACGACCACCATCTCCATCAGCATCAGCATCATCGACAGCATCATCATCACCACCATCGTCATCATCTTCATCATCTTCTTCATCATCATCATCACCACTATCATCATCATCATCAGCATCATCATCATAATCATCGTCATCATCATCATCATCATCATCATCAGCATCATCATCATCACTCTCATGCAGATGCCCCCCCACAGAATGTGTCGATTCAGGCGCAACCATACCCCTGCCCTGCAGGAAAAGGTGCGGCTGGAAAGGCCGACGCGACGAAGGATCAATAGAAAACGCAGACAGAGGAGGAGGGGCGAGGGACACCAATCTCCTGTTCCTCCCCACCTCCTTCGTCGCCATCGTCCCAGTGCTCCTCCTCTTCCTGCTCCTGCTCCTCCTCCCTCCTCCTCCTCTTCCTCAACCATTGCTCTCCCTCCCCACCGTCTCGTCCTCGTCGTGTTTCTCCTGCTCTTCCTCCTCCTCCTCCTCCTCCTCCTCCTCCTCCTGGTCCTTCTCCTTCGTCGTCGTCCTTCTCCCCCGGCCCATCCCTCCTCCCCTCCTGTCCTCCTCCTCCTCCTTCTCCTCCACATCTCTCCCTCCTCCGCCTCCCCCCCGTCTGCTAATGACCACTCGCGACAACATGTATCTTTCCAACACGTTGCGATCGCAATTCAGATGGAGCCGATCATTCAAACTCTGCCTGCTCTTCTCTTCCTCCTCCCCCTTCTCCCTCCCCTCCTGCACCTCCCTCCTGCTCCCCCTCCTCCCTCGTCCCCCTTCCCCAAACCATCCCCCATCCTCCTTTTCTTCGCCTCCTCCTCCTCCTCCTCCTCCTCGTCCTCCTCCTCCTCCTCCATCGTTTTCTTCCCCTGTTCCCCCTCGTCCCCCTCCCCCCTTCCCCCTCCCCTTTTCCTCCTCCGCCTTCTTCTCCTCCTCCTTCCGCTCTCCTCCTCCTCCTCCTCCTCCTCCTCCTCGTCCTCGTCCTCCCTGCCTTCCCGTCCGCGCTTTCGGCCTCCGCTCTTCCTTTCCCCCCCCACAATTTACGCAGCATAAATACGGCGAGGGCGTCGGATAAGAACCATTCGGTAAGGAACCTGACTGGATAGGGAACCGTTGGGTAAAGAACCATTGGTCAAATAATCGGTCTGGATGAGAAACCGTTGGATAGGGAACCCATGGGTGGATAATCATTTAACCATTGGGTACATGACCCTTAGATGAATACTCGGACTGGATAAGGGGCCGTTGGATAAATAACCATTGGTTAAGAAATCGGCCTGGATAAAAACCACTGGATAAGGAATCGGGGATGAGGAACCATTGGGTGAAGAACCAGAGTGGAAAAGGAACCGTTGGGTGCAGAACTATTGGTTGAACAATCGGACTGGATAGCGAGCCGTTGGATAACGAACCAATGGATGAGGAACCATTGGCAAATAAACATGATTGGGTAAATAACCAGACTGGATACATAACCGTCGGACATGTAGCCTTTGTATAAAGAATCGGACTGGCTACGGAATACTTGTATGAGAAACCATGTGATAAATAATGGACAGGGTAAGTCACCGTTCGACAAATAACCATGTGATACATCATCTGACTGGAAAACAGTTAGATAAATAACCAATGGGTAATGAACCATGGGGCACGGAATCGGGCTGGATAGGGACATGTTGGATAATGATCCGTTCGAAAGATAATCGGGCTGGAAGAAGAAACGTTGGGCAAGGAACCACTGCATCAATACTATGATTCGTGAATGAATCGTTAGGTAAATAACAAGTGGGTAAGGAACCGGAGTGGGTAAATAATAATTGAACATGGAACCCTTGTTTATACAAACATAAAATGACAAAAAAACAGCCATTCTTCAAGGAACCCGAGAGGCCCGTGCATGCATACGAATTCTTTCAGCAGGCCGCGCCGTAGCCGCCCTCGCGGGCCGCCGCCGCCGCCGCCCGCTCGCCTCGCGCCGCGAGGCCCGCGGCCCGCGCCTGCGCCAGGTCGCTGGGCCCGCGCGCGCGAACCACGGCCGCTGGGGGCGGCACGACGAGCACGCTTTCGGGCTCGGCGCGGGCGGCGGCTGGCGGGGCCCGCGGGGCCGCCGCCATGCCCGCTGCAGGCAGCGCCTCGGCCTGCGCCTCCACACTGGCGCTGGACATCTCCGCTGGCTCCGCCGCTCCGCTGCCGCCCCCCGCGCCTTGCGCCGCGGCGCCCAGCTTCTCGGCCCACAGCACCATGATGGCCGCCGTGGAGGGAATTAGTATGGACAGAGAACCACTGGATAAAGAACCGTTGGGTCAGGAGGATAAGGGACCATTGAAGAAGAAACCGGGCTGGATAAACAAAAACAGGATTAAGAACCACTAGATCAAGAACCGTTGGCTAAGGAACCAATGGATAAGGAATCGGATTGGATAGGGAACCGTGGAAACCAATGGGCTCTTCGATAAGACATTGAACCAGATAAGAAACCGTTCGGTAAATAATCATGGGGTAAGGAACCATCTGAGAAGGAATAGGGGCCCATTGGATAAGGAACCGTTGGGTAAGGTATCGGACAAAGGATGCGGAACCATTGGGCCAAGAACCGTTGGGTAAATAACCGGGCTGGAAAAAACGCTGGAAGCATGAACCATTGCATAGGAACCAGTGGGTAAACCACCGGACAGGATAAGGAACCATTGGGTACATGACCGTTGGATGGGGAATCGGGGTGGGTAAATTACTATTGTGTAAGGAGCCATTGGGCCACGAGCCGTTGGATAATGAACCGGCCTTGTAAAGAATCGATTGGATAACGCACCATTCTCAGAAAAAACTCTTCAAGGGCCCCGAGAGGCCCGTACATGCATGCATTCCTCCTGCGGGCACTAGCCCAAGCCGCTGAGCCACCGTGCTCGCCGCAGGCACCGCCTCGGCCTGCGCCTCCGCACAGGCGCTGGCCGTCGCCGCTGGCTCCGCCGCTCCGCTGCCGCCGCCAAGGCCAGGTGCCGCAGAGCCCAGCTTCGCGGCGAGCCCGCTGCTCACTTCAACCGAGCGCGTTACACCTCGGGGGGTAGAACCACCCCGCCTTCTGAGCCAGCCACATCGCCACAACCCAGCGTCGGACCCAGCACAGACGCCGAGGCTCCATGGTGCGCACATGCTCCTGCTTTGCCGCCTCCAACTCCACGCACGCCTCCTCGCCGCGGCCAGCGCCGCCGAGCACACCCAGCGCGTCGAGAAGCACCACGGCCTCGCTGTCGAGCTCCATAAATTCCAAGAGATCCTCTTCCTCTTCCCCTTCTTGCGACATCTCCTCGATGATCTCCGCCTCCCCACCCAACGAGAATGACTCAGTCACCTCAAGGTCCAGCGGACTCAAGCGAAGCTCGCTGACCTCGCGCCTCAGCTCCGCTAGGTAGTCGGCAGCAGGCTTCGGAGTGGACATGCTCTGCCCCAGCAAGACGACCTGCACAGTCCGCTCGGCCTCCGCCTGATTCGGGGCCTCCGCACATGGGAATCCCTCCAGCACGCCGCAGCCCGCGGGCTCATGGATCTCGCCCGACGGCTCGCCATGCCACTCGCGGGCTGATTCCCGTGTCACGATCATTCCGAGGGTTCGGCCTCGGGTCCTTCAACCCACAACTCTTGAACATGCTGTCCAGCATGAACTTCCCTGAGATGGTCCTCTCCAGCATATCGGCGTTGATGTTTGGAACTGCTCCGCCAGCTTGCGCTTCACAAGGGTGTACGCCTTCTTGATCGTGACGGGCTCGCCGTCGAGACTCTCCAGGGAGTCTGGTCTGGATGCCATTGGAGCTCCAATCGTGGACTGGCCATGGATATCGCATCCGCCCTCATCAGATAGAGGATCCTCCAGGGTCTAAAGCCTCCCAAGCACCTTCCTAAACCACCGCCCCGACCGTAGTACCCTCGTCTCTCCCTTGATACTGCCTGAACGGGGCGCCGCATCTCCCGCAGACTGTCTTTTATGCACACGGTGCCCGCTGTTGCTGCCTTTTGATGTAGGGCGTCGTTCGATCGCAGCGTCTTTGTTCGTACGCTAACTGCGATCCCGCTGCAGCGTTGGTGTCAGCTGCTGTTGCTTTTTGATGTAGGGCGTCGCTCGATCGCAGCATCTTTACTTGTACGCAAATTGCGATCCCGCTGCAGCGTTGGCATCGTTTCGGCGTCGGCGCTTTGGCCCCGTCGTTCGCAATGGCGCTATCGCCCAAGCGCGGGCCGCCACGCTTCTGGATCCGAGTCATCCCTCGCCGTTGTCGCCCCCATTCCTGTCCCCTGCTCCGCCTGTTCCTCCTGCTCCTGCTGCTGCTCTTCGCCCTCACCCTTCCTCACCATCCTCCCCTTCCTGCTGCTCATCCTTCTGCTCATCCGTCATCTCCTCCTCCTGCTCCTCCTCCTCCTCCTCCTGCTCCTCCTCCTCCTCCTCCTCCTCCTCCTCCTCCTCTGAATATGCACAGCTCCCCTTTCTGATCGCGCATGACACGATGGGATCCCTTCGGGGGATTCGGGTCCGCCAGGACACCCGTCGACGGATATAGAGAAGACATCGACATCGTGCGTGTCTTTTTTTGCTCGATGATCCAGGATGCTCCTCGATAGTCCTCGCCGATAAAAATGCACATGTCCGAGCGAAGCGAAGGCAGCATCAACATGAACTGTCAGAGGTCCGTGCAGATGTCTTGGATCGGCGCTTGCACTCCCTTCCCTGCCGCGCGGGGCGCGTCAGGGGCGGCGCCAGAGGCGCAGCCAATGGGGCCCAGCGCCGATACAAGACACCGGCGCGGACCTCCTAACATTTTTTATGATTTTGCATTTTTCGTCTGCGAATTGGA